TTGTCGTTTTTCTTGAATTATTTAAGTATAATATAATAATATTTTACTTGGTTATAAAGACGTGAAAAAATGAAGCAAAATAGCCAAACCGCATCGCATTGTATGAAAAGAACCGATTGTTAAATTTAAAGCAATATATTTAGAGAAAATTCGATTAAAACCTGCCTAGATCTTGGAAACGTTTCTCGTAGATAAAAGAGCACTTTTTATTTCTGCGACAGAAATACGATGAATCACATACTTAATTTTGTTTAAAATAGATAATTTGTTTTCTCCCACAAAAAGTCCATAGGCGTAAGGTCAGGTGACCTTGCTGACCAAGGAAATAAACTGTCTGGTTCTGTCTTTCCCAGCAGCTAAAATATTATATAGGGTCGCTTTTATGTATGGAAACGGTAAATTATTTCCCAAACTAAGGTACCTAGAATCTAGAATAAAACGATTATACCAAAAATGTAGTTATTCCCAATCTATGTGCACAAAGATAAATTTAATATACAGGATCAGTCGAAAAGTCACAGCAACCTTTTTTCTAATAGCTCACCTCAAGTTTGAAAGGTTCTTTCCAGTTTATTTACATAAAGAAAAATTTAGTATACAGAATCAGTTAAAAAGCTACGGCAAAGCGAAGTTTTTCTTTCTCAAACCGAACACCCTGTATGTTAATCAATAATTGAATCCCCTTTGACATTCTAAACAAACATTATCCGTTTTGAAGACATCGAGTTGTTGAAACTATTTTTGCTATAATTAACTTAATTATTAGATTTAGTATTTAAAATGTTGATATTTTTGACTATAAACGAGATATTTTTATTGATTCCCAGAATTACATTGAAATTGTATTTTAAAAGGTGATCAAACTGTGGGCCATTTACTTTTCAAGTCAAGTGAGATCAAATCGGGAGAACGAGCTGGCCATTCATTTGCCGCAGCGACTAATCCATTTCTCAGCAAATGTTTCATATGAGAGATATGTTCGTATCTCTCGTCCAAAATTCAATATCATATCATCATTAATATTTTTTGATATTTGATTTAATAATTTGACGAATCATATATACAGTTCAAGTTTTGTTAGGAAGTTTTTTATCACTAAAACAAGGCCGAGTTATTCTTTTGGTAACTGTTAATCTCTAATTGACACGAATGTGAAAACTTCTTCTTCTTCTTGTTCTTCTTCCTCGTACGTTAGGACTCAGAGTCCTGTGTTTTTCTTCAACTTCCTAGTCTTGGGATGCTGATGTCCAGCTTTCGTACTTCAAAACTTCGTTTTATATAAATTATTGTGAATTATTTGAGCTTGAAAATGGCACATTGAGCGTATTAAAATATAGTGCATAGTCACTTTACTTAATATTTTTTAACCCGAAATCTATATCATTAATATTTTCTGAGATACAGCCGACCACCTCTCTTAGTGGTCCCATTGTACAAAAAAACATAAAAAATAAATGTTTTTTACATAAATTTGATACAACTGCATATCAATGCAACCTCTCTTTATATGACTCTCACATCTTAGTTGCAACTTTTTAACTTCACTTTATAACCCCATTTTACAACCTCCGTAGATTTACTTCTTCTTCAACTATTACTGGATTTAAAATTATTTGAAATGTTCTGGATTTAAAGAAAATATGCGCAAAACGTTTACATGGTTTCCTATGTTTCGGGTTAATGCTTGGTTTAATTAGTGGTTGTAAGGCTACAGAAGAAGATGGGGTAATGCTCGCTGTGGGTTTCTATCAGGCCCAAAATGTCTTCATCGTTGCCTAATAGTTCGGTTGCGGCCGCTTTGACTTTCTCATGAGAGTTAATATGTTTCTAATGAAATTTTATCTAAAACTTTTCCACTGAAATATTATTTGAAAAATACTGTTTTGCTTTTATAATTTTTCTTTAAAATGCTTCCAAGTTTCAATTCAACGGCGGAATAACCGACAATGTTTTACTTCAGTTGGTGACATATAAATAAATGTTCACTACGTGGCTCATCCGCCAGCGCAAAAAAGTATTTAAAAAATTTACTTAGTCTATTCTGTATTATGTATTCAAAAGTATAAAAATACATGTTTATTTGTCGAAGAATAAAGATTAAATGTTGGCTTTGCTATTAAGTGATATTTTTTATAACAAACTAACCCAAAACAGCAGCAACAAATACTCCATAGTACAGTATCTCATTTCAGATATATGTATATCAAATATTGGTAACTAATAAAACTTTAAATATCCAAACTAATTCTTAATAATCTTATGTCTAGAAAACCATTGCTCAATCGCACAATTTTTGTTTATAATTTGATTAAATTCATGGGTCTTGGGATTATCATTGCGAGAAATATTCAAATGTTCCCAGTCGTAAATAAGAGCAAGTTATTATTAGATCTAAATTTGTTGACACACTTTAACGGAAAATCAGGAAGCATACAGTCTTCAAGTGCCTGGAAAAGCAAAATGAAGTACTTCGGTTTATTTCTTATTACATTTGCTCTATTGGTTTCAATTGAATGTTGGATGGCAATCAGCCCGTACAATCGTAAAGAGTTCAGGGAAAATAAAATTACAGGTAACGTAAAATCTAAAACACTACTTGATATTTATAAAATAAACACAAGAGATGTTATGCTAAAAAGCAGGAAAAACGAAGGAAATATTTTCTACCAAAAGTTGTTTTTGTTTGTTGTTGTCTTTCTACAAAAAGTACTAAGTCGCAGTTTTTGTTTAATTTTTGACTGTTTTTTTCATTTATTTTAGTCAATTTTCTAGAATGTTTGCAATACTTAGTTTATTGTTTTTTTTGTGTCAATATACTTAATAAGATTAAATTATCTCGTTTTCTTACTTGGTAATATCCATATTAACGTGACGGGCGTAATGGATTTCTGAACATTAAAAACGAAACAAACCAAATGTTGATCATATTTATTCACTTTTTAGTTTTGCGCCGATATTAATGGGTTCATTTTCACTAATTTATAAACTTTTAAGAATGGATTTTGAAAAAATGGAAATTATTTAAATTATATAGGGTGGCTCAAAATTGGCGTCATTCCTTTTAAAAGGTATAGGGGCTCACTTGAAAGATACGAGAAAAATAGTTAATTTTTTTCGATAGTTTCTAGAAGACTCGGCGTTTTCCAGATTGCCTAAAATACCGTAGCCAATGTGCAGATTGCCCAAATCAGTAGCGATTCTGCAAAATGCTTGGTGAGTTGGTTAATTTGCACATTGCGGGATTTCATACGTTGCTGGTAACAAATATGAATTTCAAAGTAATCGCCAGAGTGGCGACCAAAATGTATCTGAAACAACAACTTCATAAAAAAAACGTGTGCGTCACGGGACGCTCGACAGAAGTGATAACTTGATATTATTTATAGAAACTATAAAATATTGAATTTGTTTAATGCATGATGGCAATACTGATTGATAATTTCAATATTCCTGTTGGACTAATAAGTTATAACTGGATCAGGAATAGGTAAAATGTAATGTAATCTCCTTGTAAAATTACCTAAAGAAATAGTGGCTTTGCTAAAAGCAATCAACTGTATTTATTTACGAGTGCCCGAAAAAACAATGACGTACATTTTACTACATTCACCTCATTGGCTCCTGCAATACAGACAATGTGCAGCTTTACAGTGAATGGAAACGGCAATCGAAAGGGTAATGTATTGCTTCTTTGGTTCATTGTTGCTAGAGACTCTTTCAAAGACATAGAACCCACACCAGTACTTCCATCTGTCATTAAGACTACCTGAAATAAAAATTATTTATACATTGATGGTAAAGTTCTGCATTAATTTATCTGGTCTGGACCGATCGAGGATCTCAAATAGTTTCAAAACACAGGGTGATTCCAAATTGGCGTCATTTTTCTTAAGGGGTCACTGAGCCTTAATTAGAATGTACAGATAAAAAAAAATATAGAGAAAATGTGAACTTATTTCTTAGACTTTAGGTCAT